AATACATATCCTAAAATGAAGCTAATTAAGTTGGATAAGTAATAAAAAGATAAACCTTTTTCTACATATTGACATGAGACTAAATTTAAAGTAATCAATAAGTACTGAGAATTTACTAGGTCTATTACTTTAAATATATGTTCTTATAATCTCTTGTTTTCTTTCATTCACTACAAAGTAAGGATAATACTTCTGGAAGATTTTTTGAGTATTAGATGAGATAATTTGGGAATAGTTTGCTGGCACACAGTGAAGATATATATCTTATATATATCTATTTTTATATATCTTGTTTTGAGAGAGAGTCTCACTATGTAACCCAAGATGGCCTTGAACTTACTACATAGCCCAGGTTGGCCTTGTGACAACCCTCCTGTCTCAGTCTCCTGGAATGCCGGGATTAGAGGCACCCAGACACAGCAAAGACTGAATGTTTAGTTTATTTTAGGATTTCTGAAGGCCATAAAAGCATTTTGGTTTGCTTTCTCTAGAACTTAGGTTGGGAGCATCATATTATCTAGTTTGCTCATCATATATATTAAAGTAATAGACCTAGTAAATTCTCAGTCCTTGTTGATTAAATTTAAAGTACTTATTTTGATTACATAATAAAGGTACAGTTATATTCAAAGAATCAGCTAGCAGCTTGATTAAAATAGATTAAAAATACTGAATTGGAAAGGAGGGGTTGTGTGGCGATCGCCTTACTGGCTTGAGGAAAGAATGCTACTTGCTTAGAAGGTGTGAAGATGCAAATTGGATTGGGGCAATTTGTAACGATTTCTGGGTATATGTCCAACCACTCTATCAGGATATCCAACGAAATGAGACTATTCAGTCAAAGGCAGGTGGTATATTGTGATTGTGGACTAGCCCTTTGTTAGTAAAACTGTAGCTCTGTGGTCTGTTAACTAGTTATATTGCATCACCTGGACGCTTATTGGAAATGCAATCTCAGCCCTGCCCCCATTAGACTAACTGAATCATAATCTGAATTTTAACATGATTCTTATTCACATTAAAGAGAGCAGCTCTGGGCTGGTCAGTTTTGAGGCAAGGGGAATGAGCTGCTGACGGAAAGGGAGATTTAGTGTGTACTAATTACTTAAAATGTGCCAGTCCCCTGCGTATCATCTGCATTTAATCCTCAGGAAGTCTAGGGAACCGGTATTTGACCTCTACATGCAAAAGATACAGACATCGAGGGTCATCTCCGTGGAGAGCAAAGCGATTTTGGGTTCAGGGGTGTTGGACTCCAAAGACCATGCTTGATTCCTCTGCCTCGAAGCTACCGAGGTAATAAAGGCTGCACAACCCCGAGGTCAGGAGACAAAGTCAGGGCCAGGAAGCGGATCTACGAGCGGTCAAGCAAGGCCTGACTCTGGGCTGGGGCAAGACTGGCGAAAAAGCAGGGGACCCGGAGCGCCCAGGGCGCGGCCTCCACCCGCGCAGCCCCGACTCGAGGCTGCTCTTTACCTCTCCGGGTGCCATCCATGCTCAGTCCTCTTGCTGCCGCCTTGGGGACACACCGGGTCCCCTTCGGCCCTTCCCCCGGCCGGCCTGGCCCGCCCAGGTGGTGGATTGGAATGGAGCAGCTGGCGGGGAGCCGCAGCTGCCAGGAAACAGTCGCCCGGCCGGTTGCTAACGGTCGTTTCCACGGCGCCGGGATTGTGACGTCACAGCGCAGAAGACGTACGCTCCTGAAGCCCCGCCTCCGGAGCTCCCGGAGAGGGAACGGAAATCTCTCACTTGGAGGAGGAAGGACGGGGCAAGTTCTCCAAGTGCGGGTGTGTTGCCGTGGGTTCCTGCCAGCGGCCCAGTGAGGGAACTCCTGTCAGGAGCCAAGTCACCAGCACCTGGCAGGCTTTGTCCCTGCGGGAAGAGAGAGAAAGAGGAGGTGTTCTCATCTGGCATTCACGTCCCCTGGTCCCAGAAAAAAAGTCAAACACAAATGTTGCTTGAGGTCAGGGTAACATTTAACCAGTTCCAAATAACTAGGTTTCAAAGCAGTCTGTGAACTTTTTTGGATTAGTGAAAATCCTGGGGGCGAAGAAAACCTTCATATTCACATTTTAATTCTTAACCTCAATCATCAGTTTGAATCTCCTGTTTTTTACCTTAAGACTCCAGCCTGTTTGTATTTGCTGTGGAGGAGAGCTGCAAAGTGATCGTGTGATGATTTATACGCAATTTTCTACAATTTGTTGAATTTTGAAGCAGTTACCTGTGAAATAAGATCAGAATAGAGGAGAAAGCATTCTTAACAGCGGACTCTGGAAATTTTAGGCTGGGTTTTTGTTTGTTGTGGGGAGGGGTGGGCCATCCTTGTGCGTTGCAGAATGTTTGGCAGCATCCCTGGTTTCTGATCACTAGAAGCCAGTAGAAGCCCACTCACTCATCGCTTCTCGGCCTTTTGGCTAAGATCAAGTGTAGAAACCCACTCACTCCACCCAAATCCTGACAATCAAAAATGTCTCTAGACAGTGCCAAGGTGCCTTGGGGGAGAGAGGCAAAATCCCAACCCAGTTGAGACCCACTGCTGAAAAGAATACTAGCTTTGGAGCCAGATTTGCTGATCTTAATTGTGAGTTTCCTGGTACATACCAGCTTGATTTTGGATTAGATTCTGAATCTCCCTGAGCCTTATCCCCCTCTCTTCTAAAATGTCAGTAATGCTACTAATTGGTTACAATTATTGATAGGTACAGTGGCAAATAAAAGGAGCTATTCCATGAATGTTAGCTTTGTATCTTCTAAGACTCAAGAAGAGCTGAATACCAGGGGATTCAGGGTTAAGAGACAAAATCAGGAACCCTACAACAAGGAAAGAGAAATTAACCAGAAACCCAATTACAGCAACACCTGAACGCATGGTTCCCTAAGACATAGGGTAAAAGGCAAGTTAGATTCAAAATGAGAAATGTGGAAGTGTGTTGGACGGCTTGTGGCCCCAACTACATTCAGAAGGATATAGGGGCAGGGAATCAGATGTTATCCCTAAAACAAAAACTTTCCTTCAAACTCATTATTGCTTGAGTCCCTTTCTAAGATCATAAAGCCTTTCAGTCCACTATTAACAGCCTAAAAAATACCTTGCATGTAATAGGCCTCCAGTAAGCATTCGTTAAATTGAATTAGAGCTAAACCTTAAAGGGCAAATGCCCCTGGGAAAGGCAACACAGACACTTAATTCACACAAAGATGATGTCAACTTCTTTTATAAAAGTAGATTTTAGGATAAAAATAGATTTTGTTTTCAAGTAGGAAAGGGGCTCTATGATTGGGAGAAGATAGCAAAACGGGAAGATTCTTCATTGTTGGATTTCCTTCAAGAATGTGTGCACAATAGGATATATTTTTCTCTAGTTTTATCATATCATAAATACAATTTAAATTGTTCTTTGCTTTTTCTCTAGGTACGTAAATAAGAGAGAAGATCCTTTCTGCTTGCTGTTCCAAGGAGAGAAAGCCCATGATCTTGGGCAAATGCATATAGCTGGCATGAGGTTATTGCAGAGTGAACTCCTGAGAATGCCTTTCCAGTGGGGACACATCCCAGTCCGAATGGCCTCGGAAAGCAGCCCTTCTACAGACTTCTCACTGAATATATAAACCTGAATTTCAGGTTCGGAAATTATTCCAATGTTGTATTTTTGTTGATAATTAAAAATCAATACATCGGTGTTTTAGAAGGAAAACATTGTTTTCCTTAATGAATCGGCCTGTGTAAGGCTGTTATTGGGTTTCTCTTTTTGTCTAAAAGGAAGCTCAAAACTAAGATTTGTACTCGGTTGTGTATTGTTTATAGCCTACTTTATCTCTTTAATTCAATTAATTAACACTTAATTAATTTAATTAACAGTTCAACAAGCCTTGTATTGGATGAACTCAGACCTTTGGGAATGGGTATATAAATTAACTGTATGCTATACATATCATAACATATAGTCTAATAGAAATCATATACAGTTTATTATATTTTTGGAATATTATTTTAAATACTATCTTCTTATACATTTAACCCCATCTTTACAGATGACTCTTAGTTTCATAATTCAGAAGATTCCTGGAATTCATGTTTGTCTTTTTTTTTTTTTTTGGTACTGGGGATCGAACTCGGGTCCTTGCTCTTGCACAGCAGGCAGCAAAACCACTGAGCTAGATCCCCAGCAATGTT